ATTTAATAAACAAATTCAGTAGCGTAGCTGGATCCAAAGTCAATACTTAAAAATCAACAGTCTTACCTGTACACAAACAATAAATTCACTAAGAGAGAAAGGGAAATGACAAATTTCACAATAGCATCCCCAAAAATGAAATAGCTAGGAATCAATCTAAGGAAGTAAAAGACCTCTACATTGAAAACTATAGTATTCTCAAAATGGAGATTGAAGAGGATATCAAAAAATGGAAAGATATCCTTGTTCTTGGGTAGACAGAACCAATACACTGAAAACAGCCATACTCCCAAAATTTTTATACAGATTTATGCAATCTCAATAAAAAATTACAAGAGGATATCTCACAGAATTTGAGAAATCAATCCTAAAATTCATTTGGAACCAGAAGAGACACAGACTAGCAAAGGCAAATCCGGGCAACAAAGGCAAAACAGGAACCAACATAATCCATGACCTGAAATTATACTGCAAAGCTATTGTGATTAAAAGCAGCCTGGTACTGACAAAAAAACAGACCCAAGGATCAATGGAAGGGATTAGAACATTCAGAAACAACTCCAGACATACTCAGCCACCTTATCTTTGACAAAGGAGCCAGCCAAACACCTTCACTGGAACAAAGATAGACTAATAAATGCTGCTAGAAAAATGGGCTTTCTACATGCCAATAAATAAACCTAAACCCATGTATTTCACTACGCACTAAACTAAAATCCAAATGGATCAAAGATCTAAATACTAAAACAGAAACATTAAATCTTCTGGCAGATAGAATAAATAGAATTCTTGAAGACAGGTGTAGGCAAAGACGTTATGAACAAAACCCCAATCACTCAGAAAATATCACAAAGAATCAACAACTGAGATCTCACCTTATTTAAAAGCTTTTGCACAGCAAGAGAAACTGCCAACAGTGTAAATAAACAACTCACTGTGTGAGAAAACAATTTGCTAGTTGTTCCTCAGATGAAGGACTACCATCTAGAATATGTAAATAACTCAAAAAAATCAGATACCCCAAATTTAAAGACCCAAATCCAAAAATGGGTAACTGAGATGAATACACACTTCTCAGATGAAGAAGATGAAAAAGCAAATAAATATATTAAAAATTATTCAAATCACTGGTCATTTGAGAGGTGCAAATTAAAACAATGTTGAGATTCTACCTCACTCCAGAAACAGTGGCTGTTATCAAGAAATCAGGAACCCTTCTCCACGGTTGGTGGGCATGTAGACTGGTGCAACCACTGTGGAAATCAGTGCAAAGATTCCACAAAAAACTAAAACTACAGGTTCCACTTCACCCAGCTATTCCTCGTCTTGGTATCTTCCCAAAAGAATTAAAAGCATCATACCACAGTGATATATGCACACCCATGTTTACAGCAGCACAGTTTATAATAACTAAATGTTGGAAACAACCCAAATGCCCATCAACCAATGAATGGATAAAGAAGATGTGTTTTTTTTTAATACAATGCAGTACTATTCAGCCATAAAGAAGGACAAACTTGAGACATTTCTAGGTAAATGGGTGCACCTTGAGACCACCCTCAAGAGAAATAAATGAGACACACATGTTCAAATATTGCATGGCTTCTCTGGTGTAAGATACCAAAACTATAAATAAGGGTCAAAATGTAGAACTGATATTGTGAAATGGGAAAAAATCCTCAAGAAGGGGAACCAGGAAAGGTGGCAGGGGCAAGGGAGAAGGGAAAAGGAAAAAGAGAAAAGAAGAAAAGTATGGAAAGGAAACTTTTGTAAATGAGGGGAAGAGGAGTTGAAGGACAAATAGGGGAATGGGAAAAAAAATAACCAAGCTATATCAGCTACAGGTACAAATTTCCTGTGATGAATGTAATTATTATGTATACCTAAAATGTACCAATAAATTTTATTAACTAAAAAATAAAATAAATTAACAAACAAATTTCTACATGGCAAAAGATGGCATGTATTCTTGTTTGGATTTCACAGCCCAGCAAAGCAGGAGGTCGTGGAATAATCATGGTGGTGGTTGGGATGGAGTGTCAATTTGGTTGGCTTTGAGATTCACCCAAGGCATTGTGGAAGCACACTTCCGGCTCTGGATGGGTCATGGAGGCATGGCCTTGGGGCCTCTGTCTGCTCCTCTGCTCCTTGCTCTCTGGCATTCTTCACATGGCGTCCCAGGGCCATGAACTAAACATCTTTGCTCCGTCACACACTTATGCCATGCATTTTATGATAATCCTGACCACAGACTGTGTGAGCTTAGTTAAACTTCTCCTCCTTTACACTGTGTGTGTCAGGTCCCATATCCCAACAACAGGAAAGCTGACTAAAAAAATTCTCTTTCAAAGTCCAGCACAATAGAGCAAAAGATGTGGACTTTTAAAAAAGGAAACAAAACTAATTCCCTTCAACAGGAGTTTTACTTTTGTGCGAGCTTCTGGATTACCTGGTGACACCATGCAAAAATACAATTTTTCTCCAGCTCAGCAAGGGCCAAGTCACATGGAAATCTACAGAAATATCCCTGTTTGGAAACATCCTCCCTTATGAATGTCCTCCCTATGAACAATGGGAGCAGCCCAATGTACACAATGAAGGCAGTCAGAAGGATGAGGAAGTGGGGCTGGGGATTTAGCTCAGTGGCACAGCGCCTGCCTGGCAAGCACGAGGTCACGAGTTTGATTCCCAGGACTGGAAAAAAAAAAAAAAAGAAGGACGAGCAAGAGAATGTGGAGATAGCTTCACGTCACTACTATAACCCCTGCATCTCACTGGATCCAAATCCTCAGCATTTCTTAGATAAATTCCTTCTAGACTGATTTCTTACTAGAAGTGATCTGAAAGACAATTTTCAAAGTATCCTACTTTTGATGCTTTTTCTTCAGACAAAACAAGGTTTTAGCTTCTGTGTCATATTGCAGAATGAGAATATTTACTAAATATGATAGAAATTGGTAGGCACTTTCTACTTTCTTGGTCAGACTCCTAAGCATCCAGGGACAAATAATTTACATGAGGATAAAGTCCACATTTCTCTGACAATATAATATATATATTATAAATGTACAAAGTTAAGTTGTAAGTTCATTTAATAAGCTACTGTGGTTCTACTGCATTTTGGGTTCTTTGGGTCTCTGAGGATGTCAACGATCCACTGTAAACACTACAAAATATGTTTACAGTATTTTCTCAGTTGTCATCACTATTACCCTACACACCCCCTTCTGTGTTTAATGCACTGCACACTTCTCTCCATTTAAAAAGGTAGATACAAAAGTAATACACTCAGTTTCAGATGTTTCTTGAACATCTGAACATGTCTACTAAAGAAAACAATGCTTTCTTTTTTTTAGTTTTTTTTCCGGTACCGGCAATCGAACTCACAACCTTGCGCTTGCCAGGCAGGCGCTGTGCCACTGAGCTAAATCCCCAGCCCCCAATGCTTTCAAATTCATCAACAAAATGAATTCCAAAGCAGTTCTTCCTTTATGAGTAAATTAAGCTGCTAAAAATTGCAGCTGCTTCACATGTTCTATGTAGAGAATGACCATGTTATATGTTATTACAGCCAGGATGGATAATCCTACCACCATGAGCAATCACAAGACCACTACCATAAACTCCTCATAGCCGACCTCTAAGTTCCTAAAATGAGAGTTGTTCAGAACACAACCACAAGCAGATCCCAAAGTTCTGAATAATGCAAAGTCCAAACATGTTGCTGTGCCTCTAGGATAAAGCAATTTTAAAAGTACCCCCTAAATCCCCTGCCTCTGTTTTAGAATAATCCTATATATAAAATCACCAATTTCACAAACACTTCTGTATTTTTATTCTCTACATTATTAACTCATCTGTTTTCACCTTCCTTATATTGTCACAGGCAAGATAAAAAGTCCTTCAACAAAACCCAGGAAACACTGCTATTCACTAATCAAATATAAATATTAGGATGTGGAGCAGTATTTTTTAAGAAAGGGGTCTCGCTATTTTTCCCGGTTATTCCCCAACTCACGGGCTAAGCAATCCTCCTGCCTCAGCCGCCTATGTGGCTGGCACTATAGGTAGGCACCACTTCACTCAGCTTAACAGATACTGGGTAATTTTTTTAAATTATGCTGCTACTGAAGGTAACAATAAAACATCCTCATTTTTTCCTCAAAGAAATACCCATGTATATTTTCCTGATCTTCACAGCTTTCTTAAATAAGAAGTTAAAAACATAAATATTAAGTAGCTTTCATACTATTTAAAGAACACAACGGTGTTTATTCAAGAAACTGCTATTTTTCATCTTACTGTCATAGTCCTACAATCAATGAACCTGAAGACTCCTCCCCTCCTTGACTGAGTGGACAAGATTTCTACTTAAATATCAATGGAAAATCATATCCAAAACACATCTGAAAAGACCACTGCTAATTCCTCACTTCAAGTCTTAAGAAAATATTGATCAAAGTATTGATTATGTTCCAAGTGGTTAAAAATGCTGGGAAAGAACAGCTCTTCAGAGGCAAAAATGAGGAATGGTGTAAGAAGAGCCTCCAAAGGCCGTATAAACATTGGCAACCTCCACAGAATGAAAAGTTGGAAATACAGTTGCACTGTACATAAAGGCTACCTGCATAATAATTTGTTTTTAACTATGCAAAGTGAAATAATCATCTTTTTTAGCTAAGGGAACCCCAAATTTTCCCAATGGTACATTCATTTTCTAAATGTACCGCTGATTCACAGAATCAAAAGTAACAAACTATTGGCTTAGGTAAGTGGAGAATGCCAGGCAAAAATGAAAAGCATCACAAAAAGTGTTCACATCAGAATTTCCATGTAAACAGGCTTTCAAAGGAAGTAGAGGAAGAATACATGCATCTTCATATTGTGGTACTGTCTGTTAGGTCGCATTCCCGGGAGATCCTGGCTGCACTTCCAACCAAACTCCACCAACCACAGCAAAGTAGGCAAATCACCAGGAAGTTCTAGAAAGTCTTGGTTACCTTTGAAAATCGAGCATTTATCCATTTGGTAAACGTTTTCTTCTGCACGTCATTGTGTTCATCTGTGGGAAGGAAGCAGAGAGATGCATGTGAGCATTTGTATCATGCACATATGTACTAAGCTCACCCCCATCCGGGGGACTTTAGCACAGCCCTATCAGTACAGCTCACAAGGCACTGTGGTGCCGGGCCAAGGAAGAATTTTCTGACTCATCATTGCCAGAGCCCACCAAAGCCTGGAGCAGAGAAGACCCTGACACCTGGTCCGAGGCACCTGGCCGCCTCTCCTAAAGACCAGCTAAAACCCAGGACTTAGGAATAGAATCACAACCTCACTTTCTGTTACTCATAATACTTCCAGCTTCATTTTAAGTAAAATGTCAAACATGATCAACATTTTAGCATGTTCAAAATTTTAAAAATCAAAGTTACCCTGTAGAAACTAAGCACTTTATAAATTCCTCCATTTTTCATGGAGGTTTTATACTCTCCAGAACAAAGAGGAGTCTACAGTTGGTAGTTGTATAACCCATTTTCCTACAGGAAGACTGACATAAGGTCATAATGACAGTCTTTATATAACCACTTATAGGTAGAGAAAGCAGAAGAGTATAAAAATATTACCAACAAGCTGGGTGTGGTGGTATATGCCTGCACCCGGATGGCTGAGGCAGAAGAATCATGAGTTCAAGGCCAGCCTGGACTATACAGTAAGGTCAATATCCCCAAAACAAAAAACCAACAGACAGAAACACTGCCAGCTCTGATTTTGATTTATAATCATTATGCAAATCATAGCAAATGAAAATTGACCTCCAAAAGCTAAAGAACAATGAGCTTGAAAACAAGCAAAGTGAAGTTTTAGGTGAAAGGATATCATGTGATATAATAAAAATGGCAAAGGGACTTAAACCAAACAGATCATATCCTGATCCACTTATTATGTGACCATGGGTAGGTAAATCACCATAATGTCTCCAAGACTCACAGTTCTCATCCTTGAAACGGAAGTACATACCACCTAGTATGTGAGGGTATTGTGAAGATCACAAAGATACGTGGAAATCATTTTAAAAGAGCTGGTCTTCAGCTACTATTGCCATTGTTGTTACAGCATTGTTGGGGAAACTGAAACTTGTCAACTGACAACCCCCTCTTTTCCAGTCCTAATAAGCTTCACTTGTTATCTCAATCCCCAGCCTGCTGGAGGAGGCCACCCAGGTGTGCAGAGCTGTAAACCTGTCGCCTCTGAGTAACTGCCTTTGCTCTGCTTCTGTAATTTAGCTTGCTTACCTTTTCCCTCCACAATCCCTATACAAGCTCTCCCCAGGCTCAGGGCTCGGACCTTGGAGTGCTGAACTCTTCTGACCCTGCTAGCTTGCTTCCCTCCACTTCTCTGAGTGCCATGCAGTCTTTTCACCGCCAGTGAACCTAAAGTTGCTACAACACTATGAGTGTGAACAAGGCAGATAAACACATGTGCACTTGACCCTTTGTTACTTCCAACTGACCTTCATGAGCCACTCCTCAGTTTTGGGGAGCTTATTTTATGTTCTGCTTTGTTTTGAGATGGGGCCTTGCTATGTACTGCAGCCTGGCCTTGAACTTGCTTATGTAGCCCAGGCTCGCCTCAAATTCACAGTGATCCTCCTGCCTCAGCCTCCCAAGTGCTGGGATTACAGGAGTGGACCACCACAGCCGGGTCCCCAGTTTTCTATAAACTCCGCAAGAGTCATTGTTGCCCCAAAGCCTACAAAGTTGCAGTTAACAATCTCTAAGTAGCTGTGAAAGTTGTTGATCCATTCATAAATATGTACTGAGCGCTCTGCTGCCACCCATACTCCCAGGCTGCTCCCACCCCACCAGAGCCCAATAGTAGAGGGGCCCATGGGCTCTGCTTCTGCACACCCATTCCCGAGAGGCTGCCTATCACCCCTAAACACAGACATTCTCACCCACCTCTGATAAGACCATTAGATAGTCACCCATGAGGTTACCTAGTGCCGTAGCTTGGGTGTTGATTGACCCCCAGCGATCTATGTGTTAAAACCTTAGTACCCAAATTGGTGCTATTTAGGGAAGGAGGAACCTTCAGGAGTCACTGGGGATCTGTCCTCCAAGGTGATTTGGGGGACCCTACTTCCTCCCTTAGTTCTTCCTTGTACCCCTGCCACACCTTCTCACACCCCTCCTAGAGGCCCAATACCACAGGTCCACTCAGCCATGGCCTGCAACTTTCAAAACTGTAAGCAAAAATAAATTTAATTTTCTTACAAGTTAATTATCTCAGGCATTTTAGTACTGTGGCAAAGAGCTGGACAACGCATCAAATGTGTGACAACTGTTCTTTCTTCCCTTCTGAAAGGAGTTTGCAATGAAAAGGTCACATCTGGAATGGCTACAGCAGCAGCCCTAGAAGAGTGTACTTTTACAGATCCATAATGGTAACTGGAGACCAGCCCCATGACACAAAGGGAACAACTGATACAGAAAATGAATCTGCTCTCTAAGAAATTCTTAGTGTTAATGGTGCTGAAGGTGGTGACCTTCTGCTCAGAAAGGACAATGGAGTCAGCATCAGCCCGTACTGCAGTCTTTATCTCTTGTCCGATCAATGTGATACATAAGCCATTTATTAATCAGGAGGACTTGCTTACACACTGAATGCCAGGTCTTTACTCTGTGACCCAAAAGGGACTTTGCCAGAAACACAAGGCTAATTCCACACATCGACCTGCAGAGGGCGCTACAGCCGACTCACTAAAATGAATTTAGGTATTAAATTTCTATCTTTCAGGACACTTGGGAAATCTGATTATTTTTCCCAGAAGCTTAAAAAGAATTTGTTTTTGCAAACTTTGCCATCTCCATTATTCTTTAATTCTACAGATAAACGAGCAGAAATAAACATTAAATTGTCTTAATTTCATAATCTTCATAGTATTTAAGAATTTTTTGGCCCCAGAAATAGGCAAAATTCTAAGGAATAAATATTACTATATTTTATTTCTCTCAACTTCTTTTCAAGGCACTGAACTTTTGTATTTCAACAACATATTAAAACATCTATTGCTAAGTAGAAATTTTTTTCTGTGTAGAGTGGTTAAAGACATGAGTATCCATACCTTATTAAATGATGAATGAAATATTTTCATATTTTCACACATACAATGAAATCAAATTTAAAAATAGATTTGCTCCTATACCGAAGTATTTATAAAAATTACTTTGCTAATGTTTCTAAAGTAGCCTGTAATATTTGAATCAAATCAAAGTCTGAATGAATCTTAAGTAAATGATGAAATTAAGATCATCTAAGGTTCAAATCGTCCAGAGATAAACTGTCTCACATTCAAATGGTTCAAAAATACTCGAAATTCATATAAATTCTTCTGTGTTCATTCTCCAGACATAGCTAAGGAGAAAAAAGACAGGTTCATACTTCAAGAAGCCTTTAGTGTGCTTTTCTCTTTCACACACACCTCTGATTATCTACAGACAGGAATTCAATAAAAAGACAAGAATTAGCCTGCGGCTTTTCAGCCGTGAGAGTAAAAGTGTAGCAGATTAGGAACAGATGCTAGTATGGCGCTGACCTCTACATCAAGACAATTACGGTAAACAACGTGGACCTAAGCCTCTCTCTTCAGGTGATTAGCAAAACCAGACACGCAAACTGATAGCAGAATCACCAAAAGTCAGTCCTGCTATCCTAATCGATCCTCTTGTCTTCCTAGAAGTTTACACAGGATTTCCACCACTCTCAAAGCTACACAACTCAAGCCACAGTGTTCTTATAAAGCCAGTTAGTTATCTTAATTCCTCCAATGTAAAAATGTGTCAGCACACAATACCTCACACATAACTGTATCACTTGTGTAAGCATTTATCAACAAGCATAACTGACACTGCAAATTGACCTCCACTAAACATATTCTTTCAGGTTTCCAAACTGAAACACGCGTTTTCTTTGGATTTGGACTTTTAAAAACCATTTCATTTCTCAAAACCTTTCCTGGCTTGGGGAATTGTATCCACTAGTGACCTTTCTATATTAGGAGACAAACACGGGACAGAATTAGAAGAAAAAAATGTGTTAAACCCCTTTAGGCTCCTTTTCCAAATTCTTTCTCTAAAATCGTTTGGTCTTCTTAAAATGCCTCTGACATGCTCCCACAGATCCGGGCTGCCATCACAGCCCAGCCTGGAACTTTATTGCTCTGATGGGTACGAGAAGGAAAGCACGAAACACCAACAAAACTGCTGATCTATCTTCAGGAAAACCAGCTTGCAAGCGTCTTTACTTCCCCAGCTCAAAATGCAGAGTGAAAATTCTCTTAGTAGAATTTAGCAATAAATCCCAATTTAAATCCTATCCCAAAAGTGTAGAAGGGAAATTAGGACCATGTACACCACTGCTAAAATTACTATGGTTTGAGAAAAAGTATTATCCTTTGGCACATTTTTGGAAGCAACCTGAAAGTGTCCAGTTGGCTGGTCCGAACCTAATTATGAGTTCCATAAAATGCAGCTATTCAAAAAAGAAGTGCCTGGACTTCAAGCCAAGGCAGAGAAGTCTTACCGGATGACTTAAAACCTGGATGGACTTTATTAAAGCCTCTTTCACAAACACTAAACTTAACACACCCTCGAAAGTGAAGATTATTTCAGAAGTAATAAAAGCATTTCAGAGCAGACTCTCACTTCTTCTGGGCACTATGTGTGAATCACCCCCAAGGACAGCTACGCCTGAGCCATCACCACTCTGTCGTTCCCCTCTCTTGTTTCCATATACCCACTCTACTAGGATCTGGACAAAACAAGTGCATTTATTCAAATAATATGCATTACAACGTCACATGGAAATAATCCCTATTATATAATGATCCATGAAGTATAAATATGTAGACCAACAGCCAGCAGGAGCCAGAATGCTTCCAAGCAGAGTGTTTGGACTCCTAAGTTTATTTCAAAATCTGACATTTTCAGAGAACCAAAAAAAAAAAAAAATTCTAAAATTAAAAGTGTTAGCTTTCAAAATTATCAGAAAACAAGCTGGGCG